TATATATATATATATATATATATATATATATATACTTTTTCTTCATTTATAACTTCACTTATAACCCTTTAACGAGAGAAGAAGTTTTATAGGAGGAGCCTCGATCCTCCTAAACCAGAATCCTTCCCGAAGAAGAAGCACATATCTGGAAGGATGCTTGCGTCACATGTTGCCGTACAGGCACACGGTATCGGTACATTCGACCTTGCCCCTTTAAAAGCGAGCCTCTCCTCGCCAGCCTTGCAATAAATCAAATCGAGCCGCTTCGACGCGAGCAGCCTCTCCGTCGCGCTTTCCATTTAGGCTAGATTTAAACTAGGCCCAGGTAGCGTCTTGCGTCTTTTGCATAACTCCTTGTCCGCAGGGGGAAGGGGGGGAAACCCTTCTCAACTTCTTCCCTCGAAGGGGTTTCTTCCCTCGTCGCCGTTGTTGCTGGTGTTGCCGCTCCCTCGAAGACCTTCTTGGCTTGGCAAGGAGAGGAGAAGGTAAACATCAACGCCAGGGGTCTGGCGGCCCCCCCGTGGCGTCCTTTGCTCCCCGTAAAACCCGATCGTATCCCGATTCGCTCCGCTTCAGTTACGATGAATCGCGACGCTGCGAAGATCAAGCGGGATGTCGAGCTTTGACAAGCGTTTGCGAGGGACGAAGAACGCCAACGGAATACGGGAACGAGATTTCTTCTTCTTTCCTCTTCGCCGATTTTTTTTTAATCTCTTGATTCCTCTTGGTTACTTGAGGAACGCGAATGAAAAGGGAGATCATAATCCTGATTTTCGAAATTTTATCCTGTTCGTTCTCTCTCGTGATGATGAAGAGAGGGAGGGAGATGATATTTTCCTCGAGATCTGGAATTATATAAATTTTCGCCGATTTCGCACGAATAATTAGGCGTCGTTATGCATACTCTTCAGGGTGTATAATAAGCGACATAACAAGCGCGAAATTACAGGCGCGCGATCGTTATAACGACTTCCTTCCCCTCCCCCTCCTCCCCCTGATTTTCCGCGATCTCACGTCTCTGGAAACGAACGAGTTCTCAACCAATTTTTTCAATTCGATCCATCCTTTCCTCGTCCCTAATCTCGTAACGTACCGTCCTTCTGACGACAAGATATAGAAAAAAAAAAACATAAACTTCTTAACTTACTTCTTAACGAAGTAGTAAAGCTTTCTACTCGAAAGCGATATGGAAGAATTTCGAGTAATATTCGATGTATACGGGAAGAGAAGATGGCAATGTTCGAAGGATGGAAAAAATGACGTTGGGAGGAAAGATCGCCAAGAAATTTTGAAGAGAAAAAGAAAAATAGGATGCGTTGCGTGCCGGAAAAATTACGGATGATTTTCGTTACCAGGCGACGCCTCCGGCTCTTAATTCGCGAAGACACGCGAAAATACGCGCTAGACGATGCATAATTCCCGCTGAATATGTACATTTTTATCGAGACTAGACTCGAAAGACTTTGGCGACGTTCTGACGGCGAGGGGATCACGATTTTTAAATATTACGAATAAATATTTTCTCTCAATTAATTTCCTAATATTTGAAATTCAAGTTGAATATTCAAAATCGTAAAAATCGTATTTTCATTCGCCGAATCGCGTTAGAATCCGAGACTGGAAATATCTTCGAAATTATCTATAGTATATCTAGCTTATTCGTACAATTATTATCTCAACTACTCGAATACGGAGAATTATATTTACAATTAAACTGTTACGTTACGAGTCGTAATTTAGTCTACGCCGATGCATCGAGGTTTACAGATCGACGTTTTGGATCGACAGACGGAAATAAAAATACGCGTGAAAATAGAGATCAATGATACAATTTAAAATAATCGAGAAATGTTCGTTCAATGTATTGTTAAATGTGAAAATTTTTGGCCGGCAATCAATTAATTAAGTTCCTCTAGAACTACAAATTATTATTATTTCGATCCTCTTTATTATAAAGCGGAGGGTTTAATTCGACGACAGGTGGCGATCTAATTTTTTTGAATGATGAGCACGGCACGATGCTTCAACACCGTCGAAATTCATCACGCAGACGCGAATCGTAAACAGGCGATAAGGCGAGTAAAAAACAATTTGTACGAGTTAGCTAGGGGTGATGAATGAAGGTGAAATCGTTGGAGAGGTGGGAGAAGGTGGGAGGTTTGGCAGGACGGACGCGCCTCTAATAATGATAAATGAATAAGTAGCCAGATCGGCCTTCTACAAAGGGCTCATTGATTCGATTTGATTGATGATTCCGCATAGTCTTTGTAACCACAACTGTACGCCTCCCTTGTTGTGTTGTGAAAACGCAACGCGTTATTGCGACGACTACCTCAATTATCGGGTTCGCGATAATGCCTGGAAATAAGCGTGACGAAATGTAATTTGTTGAAAAAAAAAAAAAAACACGTTGGAGGTGTGAAAAAATATTTTAGAATCCTCCGATATTAATACTCATAATTTGCGAAGAAGTGGAGGAAAAACTCGTGGATGATAAATTGAAAAAAAAAAAGAAAGAAAGAAAAGTAGAGTGGAGGTTTAAAATGTTCGAAAATACTTCGAAACGTTCGCAGTTGAAGAGAGAGAGAAAGAGTATGTGTCTATTTTCCATTACCAAAAGGAATGCCAAACTTCCAATTCCATTTCCAAATTGCACAATTCCCAATCCCCCTTTCGAAACGAAAATCCATCGACGAATAACAAATTCCATGGAAAGGAACCACCTGTACCACGAAACTGATCCAACTTTCATTCCATAAATTCCAATTCTATGTTGCGCGTTTCTGAGTTGAATAGACGAAAAATTCATCGTAAAAAAAAGAAAGAGAACATCACTCGATCATCCATTTCTCGATTCGTAACCACTTTCTTATCGAATCTCATAAAACTGGTCGTGAATGGCGTCGTCGATGACTCGTTTCGTACCCGACTATTATCACTCTATCGTTCGCAACGTTTAATCGTATCGAATTTCACAATCACTGTTCTTTTAAAAACGTTTAGATTCGATGCCCGTTATTTTCACACCGATGGCCGCCGCCATCTTGATACGACCGCACCACCTGTCACGTGATCAGCGAGCATTCCGGCTAATCATCGAAGAGAAACGATCCGAGGCGCCGGTTAAAAGCGGCCGGTTAATTAATTCGTTTCTGTTCGGAATCGATTTTCGACTCGGTCGGTAATTAGTGTCAATTTTCGCGACGAGTAAACGGTAACGGATTCCCTCGTATTTTTCTCGCACCGCGGGAACAAACGGCGAAAACTGTAAATTGGAGGATCGGGGACCGTGTAAATTAATTCGGACTAACGGGATCGGACGGTTTTAAGCGTTTAAAACGATTCGATTGTAACTGAATATAGGTGTCGCCGTCGAGAGGATATTTTTGCTCGATCTTGTTTGCCCGACGGATTATACTCCCGTTACGTTTATACGCGGAAGGGAGGGTATGGGCGAATTGTATTGTTTTTATCAAGTAAACAATTGCGCTTGTCACGCACGTTTGAAGCGTTGGGAGGGGGAGGGAGGGGGGAGAGGGGAGTGTTTGGTCGGAGTGTGGACGTAGAATTTTACGCACCGATAACGAATGTCGGCCATAAATAAATTTTTGGCCTGCACCCGGGCCGTCGATGCCCCGGTATTAACAGGTTATGGTCGACGCTCGATTATTCTGCGGCTCTGATGGAATTAGGATTATGAATCAACCACCGTGATTATTTCGTCGCGTTTTATGTTTGCTCGAGATTATCGCACATGCGGCCGTGAATTAATTTCGAGTTAAATTCTCCTTGTTTCTTTTCTTTTTTTTTTTTTTTTACAATATCAAATGAAAATGTATAAAATATCGTATAAACGATTTTCGCCTAGAACGTACGATGACTCGATAATTCTGTCGAAGACAAACACTCGATGGATAATAAATTTTACATTAATGAATTTTCTACAATATCAATTTTACACTCTTTTCTGAATTAACTTTTTCCTCCGTCCATTTCGATTAATAATTTCGGTCCAATGACGAAGAAGTATAACACGAAAAACTATGTCAAGAATAAGAAGGAGAAAAAGAAAAAAATTAGAAGGAAAACTAGGAAGGAAAAAAATTGGACGTCTCGAGGTTTGGAATGACAGAGAATGGGAGAGTTTTCGTGGCGGAGTGATTGGTGGCAGCCGTTAGTTTAATCATCGCGCATTAGCCGAACTACCCCCTTAGCCGGAGGCCTCGCCCACTTTCACCCTTGGATTCCGCGTTGTTCGTTTCGTTCGGCCACTGTCAGCTTTGTTCCATCCGCATTTGTTTTATAACGGTGCTCGCGATACGCGGCGCCGTTTGTCACAGGCTACTCTTCGGCCACGTTTCCGGTTACCCGCCTCCGACCAATCGCCAGCCATTGTAACGGTCGAGTGCCCTCATTTTTAGGAAATTTCTCTTTGTTATTATTTTTGATTTAATAATTTTCGAAAAAAATGAAGTGACTGAAAAATCAGAAAAATATTATTCCAAGATATATAAAATAATATAAATTTACTTACAACGCTAAATCTTTGAATAGTCTTTAGAAAATTTCTCTTTAATTTTCCAAGAAACAAAGGGATTGAAAAATCAAAAAGATATTATTTTAAAAGATATAAAAAGCGATACAAATTTACTTACAATACTAAGTCTCTTCGAGTGGCCTCGTTTTAAGATTTCTCTTTAATTTTCCAAGAAATAAATTCATATCATATGTTCATATTTTGTAACCGAAAAATTTCCTCGATGATGGAAGATCTCCTTCCTTCCCCCCCCCCTCTCCCTCGACAGGAATTTTCCTCAACTTTCCGCGCCAAGAAATATTTCATCCCTTTTGTTTCCAGCGTTGTATATCGAACTCTCTCTCTCTCTCTCTTTTTCTCTGTGTACATGGAAGTTGAAGAAGGATTTCCAGTAGATCCCGTCGCAGTTTTTTGCGTGGCAACGGCGGTTAAGTGTGTCATCGCGGGGAATCTTCGCCGCGTTTCCGAATTTACGAGGTGGCCTCCCCAGTAAGGAGAAAAAGAAATCGAAGAAAGGGAAAGAAGGTCGGTTGGCAAGAACAATGATGAATGTGACGAAGTTCGGGATCGAGGGTGGAAAAGTTTCTCTTCCATCTCTCCCCATTTTTCCATTCGTTTTTCCACCCTGTAATTACCACCATGAACCAACCCTTGATCCCAATAACTACACCCTTCCCTATTTCCACCAAATTTCCACCAAGAAAGATCTTTTTTTTAAATAGTAACGACAAGATAACAACAATAACAGTAAATTTTTAATTCCACTCCAATCTATTATATTAATTGATCATCCTTCATTGCTTCCATCTTCGATCAGGATGGCATTCTTCCCCTCCCCACAACTTTTCTTTACCAAGGAATTCGTAAATATGGCAAGAGGAAGAAGAAGAGGAGGAGGAGGAGGAGAGACAGAAAGGTGGAATTCAGTGGTGATTCGCGATAATTCTTGTAACGATTAATTCCACGTGTCCTTGAATTCGCGACCCTCGATATCTTTCTCTCGCGTGCGATCCCTTAGCTCCGTTTCGTCGGCCATTTGTAAGTGGTCCAGGCATCCCGTTTGAATTATTATATCCTCCATCCCGGCGAGATCGTCCCGGGTCATACGATCTTCATTAGTCGCTGACAGCACCTGGAAAATTGATCCTCGATGAAGAGAGGATGGATAAAAAAAAGAAAGAAAGAAAGAAAGAAAAAGGGGAGAGAGAAAGAGAGAGAGAGAGAGGGGAATGATATTTTATC